GGGTCTTACGAGAGTGCTACAGTATCGATATTCGACGATAAAAAAATGAAATAAATAGTTCTTGAAGAATTTTTTTATTTCGAATTTAATGCAACGGTGGAAAATTATCAGATAATGAGTCAATATACTGCTACAAAATTATTGCTACATATAGACACTGCAAAATAGGACCTTCGTGAAAATCAAGAAAACTTACATACAGGGCATTCCAACGATATGAAAATCATACCCGAAATTCCACCCCCTACGGTCTGCAACTACTCCCCTATTTTTTTCAGTGGTATGGAGGATCTGTAATTTATTTCGCTCTCGTTCATTTTAATGAGGAAATCAACAACAAAGAATATAATTGGAAACAAAATCAACGGATAAATTGTTCAAAATGACCTCCATCTAGTTCCATACAATATCACAGTCTACTCTTGATATCGTTCCATATACAGGCTGATTCACGGTGGATGGCACATTAGACGTTTCTGGTGAACCAGACAACGGATCACTTTGAAAAGTTAATGGAGGGCAAATTCGGACATTCTCTAGCCAACTAAAATATTTTCGACAATGCGGTGTTGCCGCTTCTATTAGAAAGCAGTAGCAACTTTGATTTTTCAAATGGAACACTCTTAATTTTCAAAGTGATCCGTTGTCTGGTTCACCAGAAACGTCTAATGTGCCATCCACCGTGAATCAGCCTGTATTATGCTGTCCGGAGTCAGCAATCGGCTTTCCCGAACAATTTTCTGTCGCAAGTTTTCTAGATTTGTAAGTTCAGTAAAGTACACTTTCAACTTCAGGTGGTCCCACAGAAAGAAGTCCCTCGGTGTAAGATCGGGTGATCTAGCTGGCCACCCCACTGAACCCCTTCTGCCGATCCAACACATTGGAAAATGTTCGTACAAAATGTGAGTGCATATCTAAGGGTCTTATTCCTTAGCAGCACTCTTTCTATTCAATGAAAAGGAGCAAATGCAGACGGCCGCTCTTCGTCGGTTGGCACTATGGGTTCGTTTACAATCAAAAGTATATCATTGTACAGTAATTGACTGGTCAAAAAAATAGGAGGGGCGCCACTGCAACTTTTGAAATATCTATGTCAAAGAGTACTTACTTGGGAGTGTTAATCAATAAATAAAACATAGTAAAACATACGAACATTTAATATTAATAACTCTTCAATGGTTCAGAGTAAAAGTTCCCAGAAATAAGACTTGTAATTCTAATAATAATATTCAAAATTAGATACTTCAAGAGGTTAATTGATTAGGTAGAAGATGATTTAGGAAATTAATTTCCCAGCGTATAGTACTATGTGGTGGTTTACATATATTCGTTGAAAAACATATATTTCAACCTGAGTGTATCTAGATTGAATGTGTATTAAAAATGTAAATGGTAGGATTTTATCCTGTATAAAAAATATATAAGTAAAACATGTTCCTCTGGCGACAGCACTTTGAAAACTGAGTACGGAATCCCAGGCCGACCTGGGACTGCGGTGATGAGTGGAGCGATACTACGATAGCTTTATTCTCTCTGAGTGCAATCAAATGTTCATCGGGCTGAACATGGAGTGTACACTTCGGGCAAGTGAGCCCTATTGGAACCATAATACCAAAAATATCCTTGAAATGTAGACGAGGGGTCAAACCAGAGCTTGGGAGATAACCAACCAGAACAGAAACCGTGACAATTCCCTGGGTGAAAATCCCCCCATGAATGATTTTTTTTAGAAACTGTCCTATATTGTCGCTAGCAAGAGAACAATGAAGAGAAAAGTAGAGAAACTCATCTTTCGTGAAGGGTTTTATCTTGTAGCAAAAAGGTGTTGGCGTGGTACAAAGTATTCAAAACCCAAATTGTCGTAAATGTTCAATATAGGACTCTATCAAAAGCCAGGACGTAGTGGTTGATAATAAGATGGGTAGAACGAAATATCCACTAAGGAACATTTAACAAATTCAGGATTCGTCAGCCGTACAAAACCAGAAACACCTCTAGGCAGACACCAGATACCGACAGCAGAGCCACAGCGGAGCAGAAAGGCAAACAAATATTAATAGGGCCGTATTCTTAGTATTATGTGTAAAAAAACCATCAAAATAACGGGATGCTTAATGCAATCAAATGTTCATCGGGCTGAACCATGGAGTGTACACTTCGGGCAAGTGAGCCCTATTAGACCCATGATACCAAAAATATCCTTGAAATGTAGACGAGGGGTTAAACCAAAGCTTGGGAGATTACCAACCAGAACAGAAACCGTGACAATTCCCAGGGTGAAAATCCTCCGTGAAAAACAACCCTATAAATGTTTTTTTTTTTGGAACTGGCCTATATTGTCGCTAGCAAGAGAACAATGAAAAGAAAAGTAGGAAAACTCACCTTCCGTGAAGGGTTTTATCTTGTAGCAAAAAGGCGTTGGAGTGGTACAAAGTATTCAAACACCAAATTGTCGTAAATGTTCAATATATGCCTCTATCAAAAGCCAGGACGTAGTGGTTGATAATAAGATGGGTAGAACGAAATATCCACTAAGGATCATTTAACAAATTCAGGATTCGTCAGCCGAACAAAACCAGAAACACCTGTAGGGCAGACACCTGTCGTTTTCGCGAAATCTACCATTCTAACTGATCAGAAAAGAATTCCTCTTCTTCTTCTTTTCGGAAGATAGGGTACTAGCGTTTTGACCTATCAATATTTGCATGTTCCATGCATAAAAGACCAATCTGAACAGAATAAAGTGATGATTTGTTTGGTTGTATCTGGGGTCAGACACCCCCTGAAGCTAAATTGGCTACACTGACGAAAAAATGAAACACTTGACAGTCGCAATATCATCAAACAGCTGACAATTGAAATTAAACAGAAAATACCAACAGAAAATTTCAACTTGAACACACTCCTTGTGAAACTTATCCATAACCAGAACATTCGAAATAAGCAATAGGATTTTTATGAGGTTTCTATGGCTGAGGTTAGACAACCAACTTTACATATCTATTTTTGTTATTTTCACGTTCGCTGAGGGTAGGTCACCACGGAGTGACATCTATGTTGCTTTAAAACTTTTTTATTTATTTACAAAATGAAGTAGAGAAAATTTACATGCTACAAAATGTTGAAAAACAAATTTTAGTGAATCTAAAAAAAATCTCACTTCCACAACTCAATATCAAATTGGGGATAATGAAACAGTTTGTGAAAGCTTCAGACAAAGAAGGAGACTGTTTCAAGTATATTTCTGAAAAGTTTCCTGGTCTCTCCGTCGCTAAACTGAAAGAAGGAGTCTTTGTTGGGCCTGACATAAGAAATCTTTTAAAATATGAAAGCTTTGTCACTAAAATAAAAATGAAAGAAAAGTGCCTGGAATTCATTCAAATTTGTTATAACAGACTTTCTTGGAAACAAAAAAGACCCAAACTAAAAAACTTTGGTTGCTGAAAACTACAAAATGTTGGGCTGCAACATGAGTGTCAAAGTCCATTTCCTTCACTCACATCTGGACTACTTTCCCGAAAATCTAGGGGCTGTAAATGAGAAACAAGGAGAACGGTTCCATCGAGACATAAAAGAATGGAACGCAGATACCAAGGTCGGTGGAATGTTAACATGATGGCAGACTACTGTTGGATGTTAAAAAGGGAAAATTCACAAGAACACAGCCAAAAAAGTACCAGAAGACTTATAATCTCTTTGCAAACACGTGTGTATCACTATTATGATTAGTTCAGCTATGTAGCAGTTTTTTGCTTTAACTTCATGTTAAAATAATAAAAATATATCCACAATTCCTCGTTTTTTTCTATTTTTCAATTATTTCATCCTCATTTCGTAGGCAAACCTTACGTGATAGATAAAAACAAATGTCATTTTTGAAATCAGCGCAAAAAACTACATAAATATCAGTTAACGAAATCAAAACAATTTCTCAAAAAGTTTTTTTGCAAACCTGTGTAATATGATTACCAAGAATAACAACCCAATCATTTTTGTGTAGTTTGTGAATGTGTTTATATCACCAAGTGAGAATTCAGAACGCTCCAGTAACGACAATTATGTCTATTCACTTCATCATTCATCATGAAAAAACCTCCGTCTGAAAAACATGTACAATAGGTTTGGGTTATTGGCCAATTTCTCGCTGAACAGCTCACAAAACTGAAGTCAACGATCAGGATCATCTTCGTTTACTTCCTGAACTAGCCTTATTTTGAAAGGATGGAATTTTTAAGCTTTCAAAATCCGAAAAACTCTAGTAGCTGATACACTATTAGCTCTAGCTACTTGTCAGATAGATTGTCGATTATCCATTTGTACATGTCCAAAAACTGCAACTTCAACTCCATCATTTCGAACAGGACGGGATACTTCATGTTTTCTGTTGTGAAAATAACCTGAAGTTCGAAATTTATCCATTTACTGTTTAACGTAGTGATAGCTCACGTTGTGTTCTGGATGATTCGTATCATAAATTCTTGCAGCAGCTTTAGCACATTCATTATTTCCATAATAGGTTGTAACAATTTCTATTCTCTCTTCAGTAGAATGAACCATATTGGAACACAGTGAACAAGGATGACTGAATAATAATTCGTGAAAAAGTGACAGTTGCCAACTATCTACTTTTTGTTCTGCGACAACTAGATTCAACAAAAACGACCAAGTGCAGAAAATGCCGATTTCTGACTCCGGACATAATGTAAGGAAAGCTTTCGAAAGTAGACTGTATTATTATATGGAACTAGATGGAGGTGATTTTGAACACTTAATCCGTTGATTGTGTTGCCATTGATATTATTTTTGTTGATTTCCTCGATGAAATGAGCGACAGAGAATTTTCTGTTTTTTCTTGTTGTTTCAACATTGAATTTCCAAATGAAAACTGAACCATTTAAAAAAAAAATACAAAAGCCCCATGCCATTGAAAAAAATATAGAAATATCTTTCGAATATAGTTGTCTTATCAATATTTTCTACAACTCTCATTTTTTTGTCAGGTATCACTGCAGATAAAGCTAAAGCAACTGATTTGGTGAGGCCTGTTATGAAAATATCGGTTGAAGGTGAAGATATAATTTTTTCAACTGAATTTGGATCTTCAAACATATCATCAGTTCTGAAATTGAAGCAAGAGGTGGAAGAGCGAATTGGTTTGGATATGATCGTTAAGGTATTCCTTTTCGATAAGTTTGAGTCGAATTAATACCTCGGTATTTCATCGAATATACATAACCATGTTTTGGATACTATATTTTTTCCAGTAGAGCTACACAGAAATAGATGGGAATCGAATCACAATCCATTCCGTAGGTCCTAATGGCGAGGTAGGAAGAAGAAACTTTGAGTTCAAGGAAAATGAAATGATTATGGTAAGTAGTCAGGAAATTCAACATCTCTCTTGATAATTTGTTCACATACTTGTATACCTCCGCTTAGCTTAGTTAAAGAATAGAACGGTTGAAGATGATCGTGATAGACCTAGGGAAAGTGAAAAAGAATTGAAAATCTTAACAAAGCAAAGGCATTCAGTTTTGTTGCAAGCTAGCTTGTCCTCAGGTCAATATTTTTTCTATAAATAAGTGGTACCATATTTACCAAAGCTGTCCAATAATTCATTCATCATATCGCCTGTCTATAAGGAATATATGACTGGATCTGTTCTGATATTCAGGCTGTGGAATGTTTTAGGGGAACTCCGTATTCTATGAAAGATCGTATTAATCTCATAGATGTGTATTACTGGAGATTTTTCCCAACATCAAACAGTTATTTGAACACCTCGACACGAGTTTTGATCACCAAGTGATCATCTTCAAGAGGGAGATCAAGCAACCTCATACATGAGGTTGCTTTCCTGTTGGGGAAGACATATTGGAACGACAAGGATATCCATCGACTGAACTCTTTGTTAATTACAATGTATGTCAGATATTTACTAGAATGAAATTGTTATTATCTTTCCAAAATAGGCCTTATCCAAATCACACACAAAACATTGGCAAAAAACTACATGAATTGAACTTCGAATTGCTTTAACATCCTCAATATTCGCCAGATTTGGCTCCCAGCGACTACTGGCTGTTTTGCAGACCTCAAAAAAATGCTCACCGGTGAAAAATTCCGTTTGAATGAAGAGGTTATTGCTGAAAGTGAGTCCTATTTTAAGGCAAAAAAATCGTTCAACAAAAGTGATTTTAAATTTATGTTAGAGCAGCTCTCTAATGTGGCTTTGTCATTAGGTCTCCACCGCATTTCAGATAATAGCTCTCAACGGACCCAAAATGAGCAGACATTAATATATTAACATTCACAGAAATGTTACGTAGTTGATAAAAGATTGTGTTATCAATGATCTTAAAAGCAGCCGATGCCTATTTTTCCATAGCAACAATGTGTTTCGTTATCAGTCAATATTGCACTTTGATGAATGATTATATCATTGTTGATTCTATTTTATCAATTTAAAAATCGTACAAAATCATCACTTCAATTTTTCATATCATTTTTATTGCTGTTGGATACAAAAAAACACTCAACATTAGATAACCTTATCATCAGAGAAATAAATAATCTCTACTAACAACGTGAAAGAGTAATATCTGCCTTGATTCATCATGTGCAGATGTTGAATTCTGCCATTTTTAGGTTAGGTTAGTATCTCTTGTACTTAGTAACTTTTCAATAAAAGCATTTATTATTATTATTATTATTTTTATTATAAATATCAATCACTTGGTGGATGATTCAAAAATACTTCAACGACTTCTCAAGTAGTCTAATGAATTATACATGTTCTTCATCAGAAAGTGTAGGTTGTCAAAAACATTATTTTATTTTCCAGACACTTTCCAGTGACAAGCCCAACATCCCAGAAGCCAAGCGATACTACAATCGAATGCCATCTCATTTGTCATAAATTATCTCGAATTATGTAATCAATATATATATTTCTTTGTATTATTATCATTATTATTCAATAACTGTTAGTCAGCATAACTATTCAAACATATGAAATTCGGAACAGATAACGATAAAAAATGGTACATTTGAAATAGTATATTATGCAACGATCATGTAATGATGGTTATTAAGACACGAGCATTAACCGGGATACGAAACGAGCCGAAGGCGAGTTTTGTATGGTATATGCGAATGTATTAATAACCATTACATGAGAGTTGCATACGCTATTTTTTCTAAACCCGATAAATAATGAAAAACTATAAATATTATATTTGTATTGAACACATTTACAGTAATTAACTTATATTTTTTTAAAAAAACACAAACTTAATGGTATTATCATGGATATATGAAAACTATAAAGATTCCAATTATATTTATATTGAATATAACAACTGTAATTAATCTGATCTTTTAAAAATATTGGAGTCGATGGTATTCCTTATATATCGCTATTTTCAGACATTTTGATAATATAGGTAGGTAATATGAAAACTGATTTTGATAAATAAAGCAATTAGTTACTTAGGTTAGAATCTAGGACAAACAAAGGAACAGGATTCTTGATTGAAAAATTATGGGTTTCTATTGGTTGATAATCTGCATCGTTATGAAAAATCTGTATCATAATGGATATCATTATGAAACGGATTATGGTCGTATAAGTGTATTGTTAGAGTACGGGTGTAGAAAAAACTAAATTATAAATCAATTTCCATAATTCCAGTAGTTGTTCAGAGCGTTTTTGAAAGCATTAATTGATGAAGCACGAGCTTAGCACATATTTGTCTTTGGCAAACTGAGGATTGGTCTAATATATATTTTGTAAATTTTGGATGATAATATTTCAGGAGACATTTTGAAAAAAATTATCATGTAAGATTAGGCGGTTACCTTTTGTATAGTTTTCCAATGCGAGTTTTCCAGTTTAGATAAAGGCTTATCATAACATCGAGATCTTTTGAGTGCTTTATGGGTCTTAAAGAAACGCTCTTGATAAAATACTGCATTTTTGGGTTACCACAACGAAGATGGGAAACTTTTCCTCATTCAGATTCAGGAACCACTTTTGTCACCACATTTCTACTCGCTGAAGGTCACCGACCAGTATATTTCCTTTCAGGATTGGATTTGTATACCATTTTGTATCACATCATTAACGAACATATTGATAAACAGTGTGCCAATTACAAATCCCTGTTGAACACCACTTGCTGCTGAGGATCGTTTCTGTAGTTGGTCATCTATTCGAAAACGGCAAAACATATTCAATGAAAAATCTCGATCGCTTCGTAGCAGGGGGTCAGTAACACTAAACTGCTGTAGTTTATATAGTAGTCTTCCATGCAAGATCCTGTCGAATATGTTTTTGAAGTCAAGGTGGATAACATCGACATGATGAAACACGTCAAGCTCAAAAGACCAGTGGCTGACACAATGTAGTAAATTCAAAATGGTGGATCGACCGTAAAGAAACCCAGGTTGCTGGTTTTCGGGTACTCCAGTCTCTAAGAAAAAAATACTCAGTTCCTCGGTTGCTCTCATCTCCATGCCTTTGCAGAGAAGGCACGTCGAGATAATTTGACGATAGTTTAAAGGATCCAAACCGTCTTCATTTCTAAAGATAGGTATTATTACAACATTACTGGTAAACACAATCTGAGAGGTTTCAGTACGTGCTGCGGTAGATTAATTGCTGTGATTTTTGTAAAGGTAATCAGCAAACTCCTGGTATGGTGTCTTGGCAATTGCTGCATAAATTGCTTTGGCGAAATTATCCAGCGTCTCAGTGGAGCCCTTGGCTGATGTATAGCAGTCTTCAATACCTTTCATCTGCAGTAGTTTCTTGGGAACCGGGACAGAAACGATACTAGTACCACAAGGAGCTGGTATGGGACATAAAGTTAGAGACCTGCATTTTCCGGTGACTTTGCAAGGCACTGTGTGGAATTGACCGATTTTATTACTCCAGTAACCTTCACGGACTGGTAAAACAGAAAGCTTGGCTAAGATGATGACTCCACGGATAACAGTAGCAACTTCTCTGCTTCACTTCACTCCTAAACCGATGTGGCCTTTGCTATCACCGATAGCTACGAAAGCCTTGAAACGAGTACGTTGATCAGCACGAGTCTGTTTCTGAACTTTAAAACTTCATCATTCAGTTCTGACCTAATGAAGAAATCAATGATCTCATACTCCTTGATTGGCAAAGAAAACAGGTAGATCTCCTCCAAAGAGTGGATCTTTTACCAACCGTCCTAGACGAAAAAAATGGGCCCCTACCTCATCCACATCCACGACTTCTGGGGCCCCCTCGGCCGCTTCCTCTACCACCACTACCGAATCCACCACGGAAACCTCCACGACCAAAGGCTGGAGCTGCGTCCGCCATTGTTTGATACTTCCTGCAACACTGTTGTCGAACGAAAGATAGAAAGCAATTATGATTCATTCAGGGAAGCATTAAGACAGAGAGTGTTGAATGACGTCACCTCATGAAAGTAGTATTTTGGCCGTGGCCTATAGGTTTCATGCCTGACTTTTTGTCTACTACCGCGATAGACATTATCAAAGTCGATATGGTAACGGTCGCAGTGCCCCAATTGGTGCTAGAGTTGTTGTTCCCGTTGTTTCGAACGCAGCAAATATGATGCTGGTATTTGAATATGGATCCATATCAGTATTAGTGAGCATGACTTGGTTTCTCTCAATCGGATTACCTGACTTTGTTTGTATACCTTTCGACCCAAAATTTAATTTACGATGGAAGGAGAAACCCAACGGACTCTAGCCCTTTTGGATGTTCTTATGAACTGGTTAGGTTAGGTCCAAAGTGAGTAGGTCTATTCGACCCTACATCGCAACCCGTAAGCCTTCAACGACACCTGGAGTTTGCCGAATCTTATTCAGGTGCGGATCGGTCTACATTAAAACCACAAAAAGGAATATAGGTACCCGCCTCTCTGAACACAAATGCTCTAAACAAAGAAGGCACCCATTAACTCATTCGGAAATACAGTATTATCTACTTGATGATACTCAAAATCGATATCCAAGAGTATGAAGAGAGGCAATAGAAATTCAAAAAGACAACTAGGTCAGGTTGTCCAATGAAGAGAGATCAAGACACGTTCAATGAAGACCCTTTCACACGGGGAGCTTTACGTCTCTCGCTCCTGTACGGGAGCGTTTATCACTCCTACCTACCGCCCATTCACATCGAAATCCTCTTCACTTCCTGGCTCCTTGAACTCAGACGAGTTTTGCCATTAACCTTCTCTACCAACGACGCAAATCTTGACGACAGAAAAGTCAACGATCAAGAATGGGATGGATAAAGTTGAGAAATCTACGTTAAGCACCTTGCAGACTTCTACCTAACTTTATACGATTCCATTACGGTCCTTATACATGTCGGGACTTTCATCTCGATGAGCAGGTCCATTTGCAGACAGAACTGATTGGCTCCATATCGTAACCTAACATGATAACTAGTGTGTAGCTTCAAATTGGGAGAGCCGTTTTCACTCCCTTCGAGGAGGAGACATGGCTCCTCAGCTCGAGGTGCAAGAGGCGTGAGAGCTGTCATCTCACGATAAGTGGCGGCTTCCGCTCTATGTCTGAAAGCTTCATTGGCGCATTTTGGCGCCAGGAGCATTTCTCTCTTCCGATAGCGAGAGATTGAAGCTTCCCGTGAGAAAAGGTCTAATGGTGGAGCAACAGGAACAACAAGTAGAGCATCAACTTCTGAGCTTCTCAGACCAGAGTAAATATTACAACCTTCGAAGACGTGAATAGACACCTCAGGTTGGCGATTAAGGATGGAGAGCAGCTGTTGTGCTCTCTGGTCCTCATGAAATTCATATGGCGTATCTCCAGTTATCGTTGAGCTGAAACCACACTCTGGCAGGAAAATACAAAGTACGATAAACGTCATTCTCATGAGTAATGCCACATTTCCCAGTTGTTTGATACTTTTTCACCGGTAACTACCAACGATATTTCGGTATAGACGTGTTATTGCCAGTCAAACCAAATTTCCTTTGGTTATTGTCTTATCCATACATTTCTAATTAACAGGCAACACCAACAAATCTCTCGGAAAAAAGTTCCATTAATAATCATTTTCCTTTATTCCCCATTCACTTCTGATCATTCTCAACCATTAACGTCAATCTCAAGTAATAATCCGATAGTAGATGCCTTTTAGCTCAGAGGCTTTATCGAACGTCTAATCATATCAGTCTCTAGCAGTTTCAGTGTTTGGGCAAATAACTTTGATGGGTGTATTAAAGCACCTCCGACCGAACAGTTATGAAAAGTGAGTGAAGTTACTTGGGAACTTGGAAGTAATTCAGGATGAACAGAGTGAGGTGGAGTTAACATGTGATGAGAAACAAGTGGAAGGTTGTTCCTGCGTGGTTGACGACGCTCCTCGTTTGATGTCGAAAGTTTCAATTTCCATTAACTGAAGAGGTAAACACTGGATTGTAACAAATGTAAATGTTTGACTCAAAATTTACGAAAATACTCAATATTTTGTTTTCTGTAATGAAAACTTCATGATAAAATTCATTTTGATTTTCGCTATGGAATAGCTCCTCAAGAAGAAGATTTGAGGAAGCTATCAGGTGGACTGATACGTTTTTAGGCTAACACACAAATAGAGCTACTAGTGTTGAATCCATATGATTTTTAGTTGATCCTAACCTTCAAAAGACAAGTGTTCAAATTTCAGGGTTTGGTCCATGGTTTGCAGGGTAGAACATTTTGAGTGAAGCAACTTTTATCTGTTTGGAGAAATTATATAAAGAGGAATTTCGTGTGTTGATGGAGCATTGCTTTTTAGCGGAAAAAACCTGTTGGAGTCAAGACTTGGCCTGATGAACATTATTTGGACTTTGCACCAGAACAATCAACCATTGAAAAGTGGTTTGCTGAGTTTAAACGAGGTAAAAAGAGCACTGGAGACGATGAACGCAGTGGATGCTGCC